AGGGAAGTCATTGCCTTGCTCAGTTGCTTGCTCAAATATAGAAGGTATACAATCATCAATTGGCTCTTTGCATGACCTCTTATTGTGGACATTAGCACCACAACGCTTATAGAAGTAAGCTCTATTAAATGTTTTTTCTATTCTAATTCGTTGCTTCTTTGGTCTCCCAGCGGGTCGCATTGTCTTAGGAGGGAGCACCATCCTATCAATACCTCCAGACAAAGGAACATCGTCCGGTACCGGTAGGAACACACTAAAATAAGTCATCTTGTAAGCAGCTACAAAAAAAATTGATTGGCAAAATGCAGTTACTGGAAGGTTGTAGTGGTCGATAACACAAATTGCATGACTGCAAGGTAAGCCACTAATCTTCCACTCCATGCATGTACAAGTCCATTGATCAAGATCTATAGTATACCTCATATCTTCAACCACCTTGTACTTCCTACTTGACACCCATAATAGGTTGTGGCAGAATCGTGACTTTCTAATTCGCATGTTTACCTCTTTTTGTGCAATCGCCACTAGAATGCCACTCCATTTTTCTGTCACCGTCAATCTATTTGTAAAAGTCTTTATTCTTCATCCTAATGCCCTCACACAATGCAATAATCCTCATATCACGAAAAGGTAAAATCCAAGCATTGAAACTCTCAGCAATGTTGGACATGATGTGTTTGTATCTATCCCCAGGGAAATATATGTTCGTCCAACATTGACATGGTTGTGCATTTAGCCATGCATACGCTTGAGGATCAGCTTCTCGCATTCTTGACATCTCTTCTTCGAACTCTTCTACCTTTAGTGCATAGGATGCCTTCCATAAAATCGTCACTAAAGTAATGTTCTTAAACCACTTCAAGAAGTTATATGTCAAATGACATACACATAACCCTGGATAGCAGTCTGGGAAGATGCGTTCAAGTGCTTGTAATAGCCCTTTCTATCTGTTTGAAACAATCGTCAAACGGCGCAAGTCTTGCCTTGTATTGAGCAACTCCTTCAGGCATTCAAGAAACCATATCCAAGTACTTGCACCTTCATTCTCTACCACAGCAAATGCTATCGGGAACATGCCACCATCAACATCTGCACCAATAGCGCTCAACAGAGTCCCCTTGAATGAGAAACGTCCCATCAAAACCAATGAGAGGCCTACAACAATACAAAAATCCATGGAGGCAAGGATTAAAACACAAGAACGTACATCAGAATCTATAGTCACGATATGTAGATATGTAGCCCTACATTTTGGGGGTTGGTAACTCGTAGCTTCTCCCTATATAGGGGTAGCTCTATATCAGACTACTTATGTGATCCCAGAATCATTTCTGTTGAAACCTCGTTCCCTCTCCACACTTGCATGTATGACAACAGCATACTATGTTCGCGTTGAACGTCATTCATAATATCTTTGGGTCTCATATTTATCTGGTCCGTTAACCGGGGTTTAATTTTCCTCGCTACCCACTAGCTTCGAGCTAATGGCTAGCGAGCCCTTCCCATTGGACCCATACAAGTGTGGTTATCTATCAACTCTCTCACCTTAAAATACTTTGTGATGGAAATTCTAGAGCATTGTTGTTTCCATTTGCACCCGTCCCCAGTAAAAATCGCAACTAAATGATCTTCGTCGTTCTTCAGGTAATTTTATAATAAAATTTTGATATATGCAATAATCTACTAAATGATTACAAAGTAGCTGACATCCACGAATTCTTGTTCTACGTAAAGTTGAATATGCGAGTGGACTGAACTGCATGGAGATTCTGATGGATGCATATCATTGGGATTAGGTCTGATGTGTCTCGCACTCTTGGAGTCCACATCACATGCATGTATTACATTTTCGATGATGGGGATGGGCACTAGTTCAATGGAGCGGCTTAAAAAAGAAGTAAAAAGGATTCAATAAGTATTAACTATAAATAATGAAATACATGATAAACATATATTTTAAGCATTACTTGATCCTCGTTGATGGACCACATGATGGAGCTATGCCCGCTGCATCTTTTGATGTTTCCTACGTGTTACTTCGGATATTTGGTTCGCAATACATACATGAACATTGGAAGCTACCAACAACATACATGTCACATCTGGATCTTCATTTACTTTTACTAAAATATCATTTTCAAGTTACATAATTGTCAAATAGCTACGGTCGCAACGTGCAATAGATGCCATGTGCATCTTTAACTGTTCCAATGAGTCATTCCCAATATACAGTAGCTTTCACATTCCCGCCTTTGTATTACATTTGTCCATCATTTAATCTTATTTCGAAGAAACCACTGTAACGACATAACAACCTCACTCCACTTGTAGCCATTGTGATGACTCAAATGATGACCTTATAGAGTTAAAATACTCAAAGGTACCCTAAAGTGTCAATAAACCTAAGAAACATCACATCATTGATTCAATGAGAAACAAAACTAAATATAGAAACTTTTAGCATCTCCCAATTCTCATAATGTACATGAAAGACAGAGATATTGAGTCAATCGATTTGTATTAAATAAAAATATTAAGCAAACATAGATAGAAACCCTTTAATCTACAAACCAAATGCAATGAAAAAAGAAAAAGAATGAGATGAACAAACATTTTTTTTATCTTCAGATTTCCTTATTGTGAAATTCAACGTATTTTATAGAATAACAATGACAACTCACAACAAAATTAATGGAACATAATAAACAGACAAAATAATCGTTGAGACCATATCCATTCATTTTTAACAATCAATAACAATAGAAAAATTAAGAGAATGAAAAAATGAAAAACCCTTGGTCAATATTTGTCGTACATTCATGCAAAAATATGTACCTTTGATATAAATTTGAGGAAGAACTGACTGAATGGATTGTAAATGTACCTTCATGCAAAAAACAATAGAAAAAATAACAAATAGATTGTAAATGTACCTGATTTATATGAGAAATAACGATCATGTGGTGACGGGAGATACAATCCAATTTGATGGAGAGAGACAAGACGATCTTGTGGCGACGAATAGAGAGATGCAAGTTCTCAGAGAGAGAGAGAGAGACGGAAGTTTAGAGAGAGAAATAATGAAATTTACTAGAGTGCAAAAGAGGGGAAATTTTGGGGGTTTTAACCGCCCCACTATCAGAGACGGAAGTTTAGAGAGAGAGATAATGAAATTTACTAGAGTGCAAAAGAGGGGAAAATTTGGGGGTTTTAACCGCCCCACTATCAGTCCAGTGTTTTGAAACATTGGACTGAGGCTAAAAAAAAAAAATGAAGACAACTTGACAGGACTGCAGGGACGACGTAACGGGAAGGGTTTAAGAGCAATCCGATGTTTCTGACATCGAACCGATGGCAAAGTTGTCGAAAAAATAAATAAATAGGGATTCCATCCGTCTTAGTAATATCGGCCTTTTTTCCGTTCAATACATAAATTTCCCAAAAATTTACTATCCAACCTTTTAAATCTCTTCAACTAAAGAAACAATAATAACCCCTAAATAAAGCTAAAATCTCAAAGAGAAATTATCCTATAGGACCCTCTCCCACCCGTGTTTATAGGACCCCTAAAAGATCACCATTAAAGTTGGCACAAATCTCTAAAAGAGTCAAATCTCACACCTGTGTGATAATTTTTTTAGAAATCCGTACCAATTTTAATGGTGATCTTTTGAGATCCTACACACATGGGTGGAAAAAGGTCTTATAGGATCATTACTAAATATCAAATAACACATTGTTTTAAAAATTTAAAACAAATATAAAATTAAAATTAACCCAATTTTTTATTTGCGTAACAAGTTTAAACTTCCAACTTTGCCTTTGCACTCTTAAAGCGCACACATCGTGTGGAAACAATACTGTCAATTTTTTTGATTTGGGGAATTTTCTAATCTCCAAATCGGTCTTTCTATTTTTAAAATTAGTCTGCATGGATGGTAACGAGCTTTTCTTGTTAAAAGAATCCCAATTCATGATATTTAATAGGATCTGGATTGGCTTGACCAATTTTTTATCCAAAACAGCCACACTAAATCCGAAACACCCATTTTTTCTAAAAACTTGAGACCGTATCCTTTTCCATTGCATGCAATGACAGGGTATTTGCACAAACATCCAAATAGAGAAAATGCATGGTACACATGTTGAGGGTATTGGCACAAACATCACAAGAGAAAAAATGCACGACACAGTATGTGTTTCACAGAAACTATCCACCATTCGTCCTCATCAACGTGCGGTTGAAATGAGAGCATCGCTCCCTCTTTGACCGCTCATCTCTACTGTTTATAGATGAGGGGACACAGAGACTGGCCAATCAATGTACGTTGTGCTTGACGTGTATGTACTGCCCAACACAATACTTCGGTGCAAATGCTCCAAACCCGTGTTGGTTGAATCAGACTGGACTGGTGATCCAGTTACTAGTTAAATTGGTTGGGCATAATTTAAAAAATAAATAACAATTAAAGATAATAGTTTGAATAAAAGAAAAGTCTTAGAAATGCCAATAGTCTATTTTGAATGGTTTTCGCCCCACCACACACATAGCATATCAGTGGCGGTTTATCAAACAGAACCGCAACGAATGACACCATGTCTGTGACGGTACCGCGTGTTTTTTTTACCGCCACAGACATGCTATGTCTGTGACAGTACCGCCACAGACATGCTAAGTCTGCGACGGTCTTTTAATCCTTGCCATCTAAAAAACTCGAATGGCGCCAAGCCTATAAGCAAAATCATTTTAGCATTTCTTCCATAGGCATTGCGTAGTGACTTCTTTAAATAAATCTATGAAATGTATACCTGTCTAATTGATAAAAACATGCATGTCCAATGAGTCAAAACCAATCAAATATTGATTTTGACCGATCATTACAAGTTTTTGCTCTAGACTAGAGTAGTCAAGGCACCAATGCATTCCAACCAACAGGTCCGATCCAGTCCAATCTTGGTCAACATAACCGACCTTTGGTGAATTACTAAAACACCGGCCATTTTGCAACTTCTTTCATCCTTTCCACTCGTGAACCTCGGATAAATATACAATTGAGTTACGAATACAAATAGATATTTTTAGATTTTAGTTTCATTTCAGTCGTTTCGGTAAAGGAAATGAATACATACAAAGAAATAATATATGCAGATAAAATGAATGTGTAATAAAAAAAGTAACATATGCCTAAATGTATTCCTATCCTTTTATCACTGATTTGCCTCTTTCAAATTACCCCATACAATTTGATACCAAGTAATAGATATCCAAATCATACATTAGCTCAGAGCTTTCTTTGAGATGATGCATCAATTTCAGCAGTTAAGATGGAAATGTTCATCACTCAAGTGGGCTTCTTTCATCGAACCATCGTGGAGGATCGAACCCAGATCCACCTGCAATTTTTATTTTGTGAAGACAAAAAGAAATACACTCACTCTCTCTCTCCATTTATGATTTTACAAAGTGGTTAAGGTCCCATGTTCTCCATTCATTTAAACAGCAAGAAATGGAAAGATGTATTCATTTAGTGCTTCTTTTTCCATTTCCGTTTTCTTTTTAGCTGGGTTTACTGGTTAATTAATGCATCACATAGTCACATGTAACATTAAAGAAACTTTAGTTAGTTGATCAGGTCAAGTCAAATGAAAGAGGTTACATCATTTTTGTTGAGCTTCTGTTGCTCAAATATATGAGTCATATCCAAAGAAAAAGTAGTGAATCATTTGCCACTTAATGATCAACCGGATTGCAGATATTTGGTAGGAAGATATTGCAATGGCTCCTTTCCAATCGGAATATAATTGAGAGCTTCAAAACTCTTGGAACTTGTGCATCCCAACTTATGTGGACTAGACTCAAACTATCAACAATAATAGGAATTTGGTTACATTTACATTATATTACTTTTATGCAGAGGTTTTTCAATTTGCCCAGAAACATGCAGTTCTTGTTGAACAAGGTGATTTGTCATTGGGGAATCAGGCACCTGGTTTGATGGTTCGATGATAATAAAAGCAACACAACCTCCCAGGTTCCATTCCCACTGCTGACTTATCCATAAATCAAAAAGAAGAGCTCTTTCAATTAGGAAGTTGAGGACAGATGGAGCAAGAAAAAATATCAAATAATTTTCAGATGACAATGGAATCAAGCATAAGGTCACAGCTAGTACCTTATCAAAATTAGTGTTGCAGAAAGGAATATAGAACAATTTTGGAAATGGCAAAAAACCGGGGATGATGTGTTTTACTTCGTAACAGTAAGCAATAAAAAACATACAAATATAAAAAGGCTGTTATTAGTAGCCATTCTGGAGCTCCACAATTGCAGAAATGCACATGAGAAGGAAGAGCATCCCATGAAAGAACTAGATATCGACTATAATTAGGTCTTCATACCCATATGTAGACAAGATTCCATAAGATTAACCCCAGCACTGGCTACTCAGAACAAATGGCAAGTTGGATGGATGCACTTTTCTTAAAAAGGAAGAAGATTAGGAGTTGAAAATTAAAGAACATTTTAGATGGACGTTTAAACTAGCAAGCTGTGCCTAATATTTTAAAGGGTGTGGTTTGTATCGAGCCTAGGCTCTAAACAATCAAATTAGAGCCTACCCTCAAATATTGTCGAGAAATGTGGTTTTAATATTGGAAATCTTTGTGATAGCCTTAAAATATATTTTCATATTTATTTATATAATTTAAAGCTCTGAAAGTAGTGTAGATCGACAGATCTATGAAAACTTGAAAACTTGAAAATTGACGGTCAGAAAATGTGTCACAAAATACACTATTTCCAAAACTTGAAATCCATTTTTTTCTCATGTCCATGCATCTTGATGTCGAGATGATCAATTTGAAGATATTTGGGAATCAAAACAACTTCTTCTAGTGAAATTTTTGAGGTAGGCTCAAATTTGATTGTTTAAAGCCTCGGCTCTATATAAATTTTTCCATATTTTAAACAGTTAGTCTTTTCATAAAATGATTTTAGAATCGAGATTTGCACAAAAAAAGTCCGATAGATAATATGTGATTGTTTCGTGCAGACGTGAATTATCAAATATGATTGAAAATAAGATCAATAATAGAAGCTATCCCAAAATGTTTGGAAATTTTAAGAATGGCATTATCTGGGATTTAAAATACCCAACGTATTACTTCCTCTGACAAGAAATGGATTTGTTGTTTGAGTAAAGGTTAACATTTGTATTTCTTATGCACAGCTTTGGTCAAAAAAAAGGCAAACCACATGTCACTCTATACATAGCACTCTATGTCACCAAGAGAAGGGTGAGGAGCCCCATATACACGGAAAGAGGAAAATCATAGGGTATTTTCATGAGGGATTTTTATTTCTTCAAAAATATTACATTCTATATTTGGCAAAGTTCGAGATGGCAACTTCAGAGCCTGTTAGCCTCCCATTGGGGTGATAAGGTATACTGTACTGTTGTCAAATGTCTAGTTTCGAAGCTTATGATATCTAGTAACCACTAGGGGCTAACCTGATTGAAGATTTATTAAGGTGTCAAACAAAACATTTTCTAGCAACAAACAAATGCCACAACATTTGAATGGCACATGAGTTATTACACCCATTTAGAGAATGTCAAACCTGTTGGTTACATCGATAGCGAATGCAAAGCAGGAAAGTTGTTTTCCTTCTTGCCTCAAAAGGAATCTCAGAGTCCCGAAAGAAACCTATAATAGAACACTCTACGGATAAGGCTACATATGTAGCAATCAGCAGTCAATACCAGCACTTGCCAAGAACTATAGCTAAGAATCCTCCTAGAAGAACTACATCATCCTAAAAAAACAAATGGAATTCTAATATGTTGAGATAAACTTGTTTTTTGCAGTTGGAACAAGCATAACATGAGCCAAGATTATTTCATAGGGGACTTGATAACTGCAAAGTACAATTAGTCTATTAGCAATCCGTATATCAATTTGCAAATCCTACGAGGACCTATGGATTCAACAAACTGAAGTGGCAGATACAGGCGCACAGGCATTTCAGAGGTCTGGAATAAGGGGAATTGCTTGAGTGATCCAAACTTTTCAAGGGAACTCATAACTTCAAAAAAAAAAAATATTAAATACAGCATTTTAGTATAGATTGTGGACGTTGATAGTTGCTTGATGATTTATGGCCTTATTCATGCTTCACATTTAACAATTCATAGATAGCACGGAAAAATCAACTTATTCTCCATTCTTTTTGAAAGGGCATTGATGGTTTTCCTCAATAATTTGGTGTTTCATTTAAAATTGCTAGTTGGTTGATTAGTTCGGTTCAGCAATAGTGGCAACCAGCAAATTCGCCACACAGGGCCTATACAAAAAGCACAATCCAATAGTCAATGTCTAGAAATTACCTAGAGGATTGCAACGACAAAGGCGCCAAGCTGTGAGCACAGTACCCTTTAAAACACCATATCTTTTGTATGCTTCCATGGAATATTCACTACAACTGGGAATGTATCGGCAACTTTTGGGCAATAATGGTGAAATCTCCCCTGTTCAATTGCAACAATGAGTCCATGTTCCATGTTTTTTTGGCTCAGTGTCTGAAAGGAACCAAAATAATCTTAAGAATTCTCACAAGATTGGAAGTTGGAACTGTCGGAATTCGATAATGGCCACATAGAATCATAATAAAACATATTTTTAACCGTTAAAATTTGAGCAAGATTCTTGAAACAACTTGCAGTCTTATATTAACATTTTGCTTACTTTGAGAGATGCATAGAAGCATTCTTCGTCACTCCATTTTATAGCCGATGAAATTCATTTTTCTTTTCTTTTTGAGTGACATTAATGAAATTTATCTTCCTGTCGACGAATTATGCATATAAGCTTATAACAATTCTATCAAAATCTCAAAATTTGCAGTAATTCACTTAACAGTTAAACTGCCAGAAGTGGAAATCTCAATTTCACAACAGCAAAACAATCATTATATCAAAAGGGATTTTGAAACAGGAGAATTTGAATCAAAATTACAAAAATGCATAGAATTCCTTAGTTTCAAACTCCACCTAGCTCCTTCTAATTCTATGCAGCATGTCTTGAGCAAGATAATATCTTTAGATAAATCAGTAACAAAGAGTAGAAAAAAAGAAAAAGAAAATTGAAACGATACAAGATAAGGAAATCCTCACTCACTCTTGTAGAATCTAAGCATAGACAATGCCACTTTAACACCGACGTCCGGTACTTCTCCATCTGTTCCATTACAGGCATCAAGAGAGAGAGATTGAGAAATTGGTGCCATAAAGGCCATTTCCCAAAGGGAAACAGTAGGCCTTCCACTCTGGCCATTTGCCACCAATATAATAATTAATTGATAATAATAACAACAACAGCAGTAGAAAATAACAAAAAAGAAAAAGAAAAAGAATTATTCACCATTTTCAGTCTTGTGGTTTGAATCCCTTTGCGAATCCATGATAGTCCAACCCCTTCTGCATGTCTGCAACCATGAAATGAAATAACATATGAAGCAAATTTTAGGTTACATTTCAAACTGGCATTTTTTTTTTTTTGGGTGACTTCCAAAATTCAAATTGGGTTTCGTTGTTACATAAAACATCAACTTCTTGAAATTCATGAATCAGAACTTAAATCAAAAGCTTTTCAAAAAATAAAAAGAGGGTTAGACAACAAATGCCAGTGCCATTCTAGAGCTTTATAAATGAGAAAAATTGGACAAATAAATTTTCCCCAGAAAAACTAAAAATAAAGTTCATGTGAACATAAAATGCCTCAGAATACGGTCATTCATGAACCAGAAGACTTAAGTAACGGCGGATATTTCAATAAAAGAAAAATAAAAATAAAAAAAGAAACTTCTGTAATAGGGTATCATACAAAATAAAAGAAAAAGATATTTTCATGGCTATAATTATTAATTTCTAAAAGGAAAAACAGAGAACATAAACAATAGGTACCTTTGTGGATTTATGAACAAAATTAAGTGTTAAAACCGAAATTTGGGAGTTCCTATTCTCAATCTCATGTGAAGAGAGACAGACGCTCGTTATTGCGGGGTTTAAGGCCAAGGAGAAGGCCATCAGAAATCAATAAAGACGGTTGAAATTCATGGCTCTTTCATGGCTAATCTTTTATGGTGGCGAGGGAATCATCCTCTACTTTTGAAGTATAACTTATTGAAGTCCTCTTTATTGGGTTATGTAGGGGTACTCCCACACATCGAGTAGGGTGATATCCTTACTCATTTGGATCCAGATATCAAAAGATATAATTTTAGGATGGAAGTATAATATTGTTATATATGAGAAATGATCTTATAGAACCCTCCTCCATCCATGTGTGTAGAACCCCTAAAGGATCACCATTAAATATGACACAAATTTATAAAAAAGTCAAGCCTCACATCCATATGATAATTTTTATAGAGATCAGTACCAACATTAATGATGATCATTTAGAGTCCTGTACGTATAGGTAGGGGAGGGTCTATAGGATAAATACTCTTGTTCTATTAAAATATAATAATACTAATATTAATGATGTTGATAATGCTTAATAGAAAAATTAATAGCATTAATAGTTTTCTATAAGGTTGCAACCTTAACCAATCCAATTAAGGTGCACCTCCAAAATTTATCATAACATATAATTTTGGTTAAAAAATTATTAAGATTACCTCAAAATCTATTTTCATATCTAATTATAAAATTTTGAAGTCCAAAAATGGTTAAATCAAGCAGATCTATATGCACATGAAAATCTTGAAAATGGACGGTCTAGATAATGTATTGTAAGATTCATTATTTTTGGGACTCAAAATATTTTATTTATTTTATATTCATACATCTGGATGCCGAGATGATCAATTAGATGTTTTTTCAACATTAAAACAACATATTTCTGATGGATTTTTGATGTGCATCTATAACTCTACATTTTAAGGTTGCAATCTTATATAAGCTTTTTTCATAATAATAATACATACACATAATAGGTTCTGTTGGCAAAGTTTTACGCTGGCAATCTACCTAACACAACCCAGCCTCTTTATCCGGGCATAGACTACTTAAAGGAAAGTGTAAGGTCCTCATCTTTCTTAGATCAATTACCAATTATATAATTATATATTAATATCATAATTATAATGCTTATGTAATAATATAATATTATTTTACTAGTATTAATATAATATTTGTATTATTATATTATAGTAACATTATCAAATTTTAATAGTACTATTATTCATGACATTTCAAAATAAATATTATAAATAGTAATAATAAATATTATAATTATATAACAATGTCATAATTATAATAAGGGATTTTCTACAAATAGACCATTTATCTTTTGTACATGGTGGTCTTTATCATTCGCTCTCATTAAATGTCAAATTGGATGGCTTGGTGTGAGTCACTAAGCCAGAGAAATTTTATTTCTTTGGAACTATGTGTCTATTCAATGACCCTCTTACAACCCATTTTGAATTTTACAGAAGAAGAATGATGGTGACCTCCATGTGTAAAAGATAAATGATCTCTTTCCATTAATAGGACATGGTTTATATAGAGCCGAGGCTCTAAACAATCAAAGTAAAGCGCACCTTCAAATAGTGTTGAGAAATGTAGCTTCAATATTAGAAATCTTTATGATAGCCTTATAATATATTTCATCATTAATTATAAAATTTAAATCTTAAAAAATAATGCAGATTGATCATATCTATGAAAATCTTGAAACTTGACAGTCCAAAAATGCATTACAAGATGCACTATTCCAAAACTTGATGATCCATTTTTTCTCGTGTCCATGCATTTTTTTCTCGTGTCCAAAAACAAGATGCATTACAGATTGATAAATCCATTTTTTCTCCTGTCCATACATCTTGATGTCGAGATGATCAATTTGATGATAGTTTGGCATCAAAACAATCTCTTCTAGTAAAAGTTTTAAGATAGGCTCTGATTGTTTAGAGCCTAGGCTCTATACAAACTTTTCCCCTATTAATAATTTAATTTAGTTTTATTAGTATGAATATAATAATAATATGATTATTATTATTATAGAATAATATTATTATTATGAGGAGTGAAAAACAAAAAAAGAAAGGAGACACACACCCCAATGCAAAAGCTTCTTTTTTTTTAATGAGCAAAATGTTGGATATGAGAGGTTTTGAGGAAGTGGATAGCCAGGATATAATCTCCAAAAAAAAATACCCAAACGACTTTAAGTCGTCAAAACTTGGATATGTAAAAGAAAGGCTTTCATATCCTAGAGTCCCAAATGCCCCATTAATGTGCCTAACATTTATTGGATAATTATTACTCTTATTTTGTAAATTTTTTTCAACACATGTATTTTTGGTATTAGGAGGGGGGAAGTAGGTTTTTCTATAAGAAATTAATGGTAGTCTATTAGTGATTAAAAAAACATTTAATGTTCTATGTAGATGATGTCACAGCTCATATGGATAATTCATTCACCATTATACTTAATAAATGCTTTTTTTTTCTATAAAAAATTTATACTTTGACTTATTACCTACAGTGAAGAAAAAGACAACCGCTCAACCACCTAGGGAAGGTGGGGCCTTGGCGGGCATGCCTGAGGCGGGCGCCCACCTAGTGCCATCCCTTAAAACAATTAAAAAAAATCAAATCTACCCAAACAAAAATAAGGCATGGTATTGCCCCTCTCTCTCTCTCT